TCTGTGGAGTCTGTGAGAGAATGCCCACTCGTTCCGTTGTGACAGATTCCAGGGCCACGTTGAGGGGCCCTACCTGGCACTACGTGGCACTATGCCGGAATTTTGAGTTTTTCCGGCCTGGAAAGCCTGTCAGTGAGGCGCAAGAACTTTTAAATCATGTCCAGAGGGCCAACAAAGTGCACTAGTGGCAGAAGTGTGTGATGAAAATTTCCGACTCAAATCCATTGAGAGACACCAAAGTTACGGTCAATTGAATGCCATAATTATGAAATTTATGGGTAGGCTGCCCCCTGAAGTCCGAGTAGAAGCAAGCGAAAAGGGTACTGGTAAAGAAGGGTTATCAGGAAGGGAGAAAACCTCGAGGATGGAATCTACACCTGTGGAAATGGGACTTAACGTGCCGGCTAAATACACCACGGGTTTCAGATATCCTAATCCCGGTAGGCAGGGAGTTCCACGTGATGATCATGGAATGTGGTAGAGTGGAGCGGAAACAGGGACCAGTGTGAGTGGGCAGGAGGTAAAAGTGAGGACGTCGTGCACTCTTCGATAGAACTATGTTGATATTATTGAGGGTTTCCGGGTATTGGCGGGTGAAATGGGAAAGAAAGTTTGAGGCAATGTACATGTATGTTCCGCCGCTGCCACGCAAGACTTTCCCATTCAGCAGCTTCAAACACGTTCTCCATGCCATGAGGAATAGGCACTTTCCGACGATGTAAAATACTGCCTGGCCACGCGTGCTTGCAATCGTTCCAAAGTGTCAATATTCCCTGCGGTCAGTTTGTTGTTCCACAGAGGTGATGCATACTCGATGGAGGGACGGACGTATCCTTTGTAGAGGCGGGCAATGAGAGCAGGGGTCAGATTGGGTGACATGTAGGAGAGCAGAACAACGCGACGATGAAAGTTGGAGGTGACACTATTGATGTGGGTCTGGAAGGACAGGCGGGGATCCACCCTTAAGCTGTGTTCACAACTGGCGCGTGAACGCGTGAAACCACGCGTTTGTGCGTATTTTTGCTGGCTTTTGGGGCGTCATGCGTACGGAAACGCACCGAAATGGAAATTCCAACATATTGGAATTTTCAGTGCGTATCACGCGCGTATCAGCGTACAGTAAAACCTGTAATGGCGACCACTCGGATATGGTGACCACTCGACCATGGCGGCCACTTTTCCTTGTCACGGACGCATTGACATTCAAAACACCTCGGATAAGGCGACCACTCGCTCAACGCGACCGGCGACCACCCACCCGCGACCGCGTTGCACAGTGCTAGCCATGTAAAATGTATGCATTGCATGGTGCAGCAGGCTGCATTGTAGATCTACAGACTACACATCAGTGCAGGAACTGTGTAGGTGTACATCACTACAGTCACTACAGTCATGGTGCATGGATGATTGGTGCATGCACGACATTAATATTTTGACAGGTCTGAGGACCGGTCGACCCCAGGCACATGCATCGTGCTAGAGTAGCATAGCTATGATAGGTGTGTGCACTGTGATGCACTGATCAAAATGATGTTCAGTCAACTTCGCCAATAACGACTGCGGATATAACGACAATTCGCGAATAACGACTCAATTTCCATGCCCAGAGCAAAGTCCCATCCAATTGTAATACATAATGAGACTTCGGGTATAACGACACTTCGCGAATAACGACACTTTTCTGATGCCCCGCCGCCGAGTGCCGCCGAGTGTCCTTATACGCCAAGTTGACTGTATCACATGTGGACATGGTCACGTGACCCACTGAACCTGGATAAGAAGACCACCTGGCCACGGCGACAACTTTTTCTCGTCCCTTGAGTGGTCGCCTTAGACAGGTTTCAATGTACATGCCAGTCCCTTTGACTGGCGGGGTCAAAACATAAGTACTCCAAGGTGTTGCACGCGCTAAATACGACTCGGATTGCTCTTTTTTGTGAAGGCCTGAGCGCGCGTTTGGGCACGCATGAACCGCAAGCGTACGCGTCCACGCGCCAGTTGGGAACACAGCTTTAAGGCCGATTCATACTTCATGTCGGTATTGGAAACGCGTCGCGTCGCGAAAAAATTGATCTGACCTCAACTATTTCGCGTACGGGAAACCCATCGTGCGATGGTCACGCGATGGGTTTTCCGTACGCGAAATAGTTGAGCTCAGATCAACTTTTTCGCGACACGACGCATTTCCCGTACGCGACATGAAGTATGAATCGGCCTTTAAGCCTGATTCATACTTCATCTCGCGTATGGGAAACCCATCGTGCGACGGTTTCCCGTACGGGAAATAGTTGAGCTCAGATCAACTTTTTCACGACGCGACGCGTTTCCCGTACGCAACATGAAGTATGAATCGGCCAAAGCTGTGTTTACATGAGGCGTTTCAACCCGGGTCAGATTTCAACCCGCCATGTACACAAAATGAATGGCGCGTTAAGGCCGTCATCATGTCACGTTCTGCGACTCCCGTTTACGTCTACGTCTATGGTGAAAAAACCAAAACGGATGGTCGTGTCATGAGACAGGCATAGTTCTTGACGCGTTCACGCAGTCAGGTTTTTGGAGAAATTTGAACATTTGTACATCGAAAGACAGTCGTCGCTCGGAAACGGCTGGGGGAGATACGCACGTTCATACAAAAAGTCGTATACCCCCCCCCCCCCCCCTCTCCATACCGCGTCTACGTCTCCCGTTTCCTCTGCTCCCGTTTTCACCCCGTATACGGATCATCATGACAACCGACCGAAAACTCCTTACGTGGACGTACAGCACTTTGTACCATGGGTATGGTGTGTTGACAGCCTCATGACGCATTGCGCTTGACCCGGGTTGAAATTTCGACCCGGGTTGATTTCAACCCGGGTAAAAGAAAATCGTAACGTACATGTACTTCTGTGCGTATCTCGCGCCAGGTTTGAACAGCACTGCACATGCAAAATTCGCACGAACGGATTCACGTGACCATACAGGACTCTAGTCTCTCTGAGTCTAGAAGTGGACTTTTGGCGGCATATCAGTATTTGACCCGGGTCAACTGTCTTCATGTACTAGTCTGTAAACGCTCACCTATTTTGTCTATCGCATCGAGTTGGCTCACCTGCCGGCCTCTGAAACGCCATGGCCTTTGCCTGCACAAGACCACCTCCCGGGATGGGCTCTGCCTGCGCTTTGGATGGTGCCCGGAGCGTCTGCCCACTCATTGTTCCTGTGGCCAATCGTTCACGGTTGAGCATGCACTATCGTGCCCTCTTGGTGGATTCCCATCCTCGAGGCACTACGAGGTGAGGCACATCACCGCCCACATGCTCCGGGACGTCGCCCATGATGTTGTGGTAGAGCCCGATCTCCAGCCCGTGACGGCCGAGCGCTTTGCACACCGTACAGCCATCACTGGAGGAGGTGCGCGGTTGGATGTGGCTGCCAGTGGAGTCTGGGGAGGTAGGTTTGAGCGAACATTCTTCGATGTTCGGGTGTTTAACCCTTATGCTCATTCAAACCGAAACCCCGCCTCCCTGGTGGCCGTCTATGGCAGACACGAGAAGGAGAAGCGTCGCTGCTACGAAGCACGAGTTTTGCACATCGAGCATGCGTCATTTGTCCCCATCGCCCTCAGTTGCACTGGCGGGCAAGGCAAAGCAGCGAAGGCTCTCTACCGCAGGGTTGCGTCCATGGTATCGGAGAAGACAGGAGAGTCTTTCTCGTCGGTGATTGCCTTTCTTCGCGTGAGGTTGGGCTTTGCCCTCGTCCGAGCAGCTGCCGCTGCCATTCGTGGTCATCGACGTCCAGCCTCTTCCTCTGCCGTTGATCAGAACCGGTCAGCAGCGTTGGCTATTGCGCAGTGTGGCTTGGCGTTGTGAGAACTAACTACTTGCACTGTGTCCCCATTGTACATGTACTTGCTGTGAAATATCCGTCTTTTCTTTTCTCTATTTTATTCTCTTTACCAGGCGTGGGTTATCCCCTGGAATATCAAAATGGGTGCCATATTATTTTCTGTTTCTGTATTTTGTCTATCGTACAGACTTTCAACCCGGGCTGAACTCGACCCGGGTTGAAATTTCTCATGTAAAAACAGCCTCACGATGCTGGCTGCTCCATGGGGACCAGGCATTTTTTAATTTTTTTAAAAGCATATTTAAAATAATAATACACACTTGAAAAATAATAATACATTAAATAACTTATCTGTTCGCTCTTTTATGACTTTTTTAGTTTCGACACTTTTCTCTCAAAAAGAAACAAAACAAAAACAAAAACAGCACACTGGATGCATTATCGCCGGCGCCGTGGTTGGCTACCACCCGACTTCTCATATATATTGGCAGTCTTCTGACGAGCCAGGAGATGTTGAATTAATAATAAATTAATAATATGCATTTATGGCTATGCAGACTCCAGTAATAGTATGCACTCTCACCCATGGGCCATGGCCCATTGAGTACTAAAAATACGGGTTTTTAGTACTCCCTGGTCTCACGGTCGACGCGGTCACGGCCGCGGCTGGCCTTGTGCAGCCGCGCACGCGTGGCCACGACGTCACCTGGTCACCCGGGTACCCGCGCGGCGCGCGCTCAAGTGCCTTTCTTTCTGCCGCTGGCGCTAGCGCTGCTTTGCGCGCCGCGCCCGCGCCCGCCCGGTCGATTAGTGCAGTGCCGCCGGCCAGATGACGATTTTTGTACGTGTACGCTCGATCGAGGACCTACGCATACGTCTAGATCTCGTCTACGGAGTATATGTCTACGGTACTCAGGACAGTAGATCTACAAAAAATCAAAGATGCGTAGACATGCATGGTAGATCTACAGCGCGGTAGACGTCTGTCTACATAGTGTAGAAAAAAGACTTTGGGCTTGCCTTTTTGGACCAAGTTTTGGAGCAACATTTTGCGTCCATGATGATGCATCGATGTCGATGATCATGCCACTTTCCACTTGAAACACATCAATTTTGTTTTTACGTTACATGAACGTAGTTCTTGCTTGTGGAACTGTTTTGAATTGGAAATGCCTCGATTAGTGTTCAATGGCGCATTAGAAGCCAAGCTCATCGAGCTATGGAACGACCACTGCCATCACAGAAATGAACTGGGTAGATCCAAAAAGAGAGGGTCTGCTGAGAAAGAAGTTGCCCACACTCTTGCAGCTTATGCTATTGAGGCCGGAGAGACAGAGCCTATAACTTGGAAAGTTGTTCACAACAAGGTGGACAATCTTCGTGCAAAGGCGAAGGAGACGTACAGACGTTACAGGCTCAAACACCAAGACGGAACATTTGTTGGGCCCAGGGGTGCAGATTCCTCTTACGATTTAGAGGGTGCATTCGACAGTTGGCAGAACTTCAAAGCTTGGCATACGTATTTCCGCGATGTGCCAGGGTATGGACCCTTACCTCTGCCCAGGGCTGACAGTGAGGCTGGGTTGGATATCACCGACACTCCTAGCACTGATGATGGCACACCAAGTCACCATGCTCTTGCTGCGTCCCCGGCTTTAGCTCGTTCCGCGAGCACCCCTCATATTGAATCGTCCTTGTTTTCTGCAAGTGCGAGTGATGGTGGTTCTGCTGATGCCGCAGTGTCCCAGCCTGTATCAAGCCATCTTGCAGCAGTAGCTGCAACACCACTACCACCACCATCTTCATCTTCATCTTCATTATCATGCAGTCCGTCAACACAGACACCAGTGCCGCAGCAGCAGCAGCCGCAGCAGCAGCCGCAGCAGCAGCAGCAACAACAGCAACCGCAGCAAACACCGCAACCGCAGCAGCAACACCACCAACATAGCCCCGGTGTAAGTAGTGAGGAGAGAGGCACGGTTCTAGAGCGTACATTGTACAGAGTGGCTCCGGGCAGTGCTAGATCGTACGCCGCGGTACGTGCTCGCAAGACAACATCATCGATGGCAGCACTCCGTGATGCCACCACCACCACCACCACGGGCACTGGCGGCACTGGCAGCACTGGCTTTGACACCGATCTGCAGCCACCAGCCAAGCAGAGGAGGACATTGGCAACAGGCTCTGCATCGTCGAGTAGCCCAGGCAATATCGGCAGAACCGCACGCGTACCCACCGCCGGCGGTGGCAGTAGCGGTGGCGGTGTGGCAGTAGCGGTGGCGGTGGCGGCAGTCATGCAGTCAGTGGTACTGTACCGTTATCTATGCTCCAGTCTGTGGTAGAGTCGATGACGAAGACCCAGACTGATTTGCACGCCAGTCAAATGACCTTTATGACCGGTCTGTTAGAACAGCATAAAGAGCACACACAGGCGCTCATACAGGCACACATGGAGTTCACATCACGACTGGTGCAACGTTACCTCGGTGGAAACGACCCATTCCCGTTGGTGATGAATGCACACCAGCTAACGGCTTCTGTTCGAAATGCGCAAAGTGCAAGTACGCCTTCAACTTCTGCTACTGTTTCTTCTCGGCCGCAGAATGATATTGGCCAATCTGGATAACTGTCGTGTGATCTCATTGACCTGGGTTCATGTTCTCTCTCTCTCTCTCTCTCTCTCTCTCTCTCTCTCTCTCTCTCTCTCTCTCTCTCTCTCTCTCTCTCTCTCTCTCTCTCTCTCTCTCTCTCTCTCTCTCTCTCTCTCTCTCTCTCTCTCTCTCTCTCTCTCTCTCTCTCTCTCTCTCTCTCTCTCTCTCTCTCTCTCTCTCTCTCTCTCTCTCTCTCTCTCTCTCTCTCTCTCTCTCTCTCTCTCTCTCTCTCTCTCTCTCTCTCTCTCTCTCTCTCTCTCTCTCTCTCTCTCTCTCTCTCTCTCTCTCTCCCTCTCTCTCTCTTTCTCTCTCGCGCGCGCATGCTCTTTATTCGGCTGGCTTCTCTCTGATTGGTTCCTCTCACATCAGTTGTCATGTAGTTGTTTGATCACTGCTGTAAGTATCTGCCGTGCTGTCGTGTTTATTTTTTATTTTTACTGACCCACTGGCCTAGAGCATACCGTGCATAGCACACATGTACGTTTGTGTGTGTGCGAGTGTGTATGTGCACGCACACATGTGTGTGCCTACTACGTGTCTGCATGTGTGTGTGTGTTTCCTTGAGCATACCAATGCGAGTTTCCTCAGTCTTGCTGTTTCTAACGCTATATCCGCTAAAGCTGCGTGTGATGAGTTCGTCGTGTGTTTGTAGAGTGATGTGTGATGCAAGTTCTTACCTACTCGTCGATAGCCACAACTGTACGCCTGTACAACTGTCACTTTCCAACTTACGATAACATTGTAGTCCAATACGGTTTTCTTTTGATTTCCAATACGGTTTTCAATACGGTTTTTTCTGATTTTCTTTTACAAGTACACTATGTAGTAGGTAGGTAGGTTGTTTAGCCTCCGCTGCTGCTGCTGCTGGCTGCTGCTGCTGCTGGCTACTGCTGCTGGCTGCTGCTGCTGGCTGCTGCTGCTGCTGGCTGCAGACAATTTATAACCGGTCACTTCTGATTGGATGAGTGTTCATTTTTGATTGGAGAAACGTTCTTTTTTGATTGGACGTAGTCTTGTGTCCGTGCAGCGTTCTGATCTGGTCATGATCACTATTCTTATTATGGTTGACGTTGCTGACCTTTGGTGCTTTCGCACGGCTACGGTCGCTGGTGACCTTTGGTGCTTTTGCACGGTTACGGTCGTTGGTGTACTCGTTCTGTGGGCGTGCTGTGTATTGGACAGTGCTGGGCGTGCTGTTGGCGTGCTGTGTATTGGACTGCTGTGGGCGTGGTGTGTATTGGACAGTGCTGGGCATGGTGCGAACGTGGTGTGTATTGGACAGCGCTGGGCGTGCTGTTGACGTGCTGGGCATGGTGCGAACGTGGTGTGTATTGGACAGCGCTGGGCGTGGTGTGTATTGGACGGTGCTGGGCAAGCCGAGCAGGTAGGCCTGGGAATTGTGCAGCTGTGGAACAGCTGCTGCTGTTGTCGTC